TTGTCCGTTTGTCCATTCGTTAGTTCGTTCGTTCGTTCGTTCGTGTTTGTTCGTTCGTTTAGATTTGTAAATGAACGGAAAAGATTAGTTTTCGTCGAAACTCCGAGACGCGGAACTAACGACTCGGTTACCTGAAAGGTTGGAAACATCCTTCTTCCGGCTTTGGTCACAATCATTTCCGTTCCCAATTGATGAAACTCTTCCCAGAGCGGTTTAGCCTCCAGCGCGGCTCCGGCGCCAACCAAAGCGGGGTGAAGCGGTCTTTTCGCAGAAATTTCTTCCGTCGCGCTCCCTGCGTTCTCGCTCGGATGATGATCGCCGTGCTGGCGATTGTTGTTGTTGTTGTCGTTGCGAATCTCCGCGGAACTCGACGACGGTATCGACGACGGTATCGACGACGGTATCGACGACGATATCGACGACGGTATCGACGATGACATCGTCGTCGCGGAAACGCGTGGCATCGTCACGCTTTTCGACGAATTCGGACTGCGAGACCGTTTTATTCTACCCGCGGTCTGCAAGCACGCTGAAACCACATTAATATACTTTTTTTTTTCACTGAAACATCGGAGAAGAAACCGAAGAAAGTAGCGAGAGGTAGCTTGCACGCGTTAATAGCGACGAATGTGCGTATTCCGCGTGCGTATTTTGTTGCGTCGACAACGTACTCTCGAATGGAAATTGGACAAAATGAAAAAGTACCTTCCATTTGCTGCATAGGGGATGGCAGGTTTGCGATCGGCTGAACGTGCTGCGTTTGATGATGCGGGCTCCATTGCTGGTAACAACAATCGGTGGCAATGTCTACTCGCGGTTCGTGTTGCTGTTGCATCCTCAACGATTTTCAACCTACATCGACGATCCCAACTTTTCTCCTCTTGTCTTCCTTTCTCCTTTTCCTCCTCTCGTTCTTCTCAGTTCTTTCCTTCGTTGGCTCTTGTTATTTTTCTAATCGCCAATACAGTTTCCACTCACCGAAACTACGACTACCGACGCCGAACTTGCGTAGCACAAAATCCGCCGGTCCTCCGAGGAACTGCATCGATTCGTTCTTCGATCGGTTCGATAGGATTCCGAATTGGTACTTGATCGGTCACCCGTACTATTAATCGTAAAACGATCTCGCTTCGATCACAACCACTCAACACCTTGAAGCTTCGCTTTTATTGACAGTCTGTCTCCTTTCCCCGAAGAATCGCGAATAATTAGTCGAAAGAAATCGGCATGCGCCACGCGGAAAAGGAACAGCTCGCGCGACGATAAACCAAAGTGAAACGAAACGAAACGAAACGAAACGAAACGAAACGAAACGAGACGAAACGAGACGAGACGAGACGAGACGAGACGAGACGAAATAAAAGAGGAGGAAAAAGAAAATAAATTCGCGAACAACTCGGCGGACGGTTATCATTCGCGGTTGGCCATTAAGCGGTTCCAGGCAATCAGCGAGATTCGAGATCCTAGATGAATATCAGAGGATGCTCGACATCGTCGACGGGCTCTCGCACCTCTCGTCAACAGAACTTGTCCTCACCTCGAGCTCCACACGCTGACAAGGGTTTAAAGTCTCGACTTGAACGCCGCATCGGATGAATCGGAAAGAACTCCCCCGAGTCGACTACACCTCGTGGCTTATCATCGGGACATCATTCTCCAATGCTGTACCTCTCGCCCTCTGTTCCGTTGCAACCTCCCTCTCTCTTTTCCCGAGAATCTCCTCCTCTCGTTTTCGTCGGTGTCCTCTCTCGGCGAGGTACGCCGATCGAGAAACGCGAAGAGGAGGATCGAAAGGAAGGGAAAGTTTCCACGAGGAAGGAGGGGTTTCTTCAAGATCCTCCTACGCGGACACCCACGCTCGACTCGACGGGATACTAACCGCATCCTCTTCCTCCGAATCCCGTGCCAAAAGGCGGAGTCTTCTCGAACGGGAAGAAACGCTTCGCCGCTGCGTGCGCGATCCTCCTTGCTCCTTACCGCTTACTCCTTACTCCTTGTTGTTCCTTCCTTCTTATTTTTCTCTCGTTGCTGCTTACCGGTTGCTCGCTAACAGACGATTCGTTATGTTTCCCTTGTTACTCGGTATTCGCTTACCATACCGCGAACAAACAACTCGGTAAGTTGAATTTAGTCGATTTCTACGATCCGCGAAAAACCAGCGCAACATCCGTAACGTATTCTTGCGGATCTTATTCGCGCACGAAACCTTGGCCGGCTGCTAACTTGAGATTTTCACGTCTTTATCGGCTGTGAATTCCCGAAAGTTTCGGAGATGGAAGACATTTCGAAACAGCGGTTCGGGAAAAAACGACTTTATTCTCTACTGTATAATCAAGAATTCTCTGTTCGGTCGATCGGACAATAATACAATCGATACAATCAAATTATCTTAGCTAAAAATTGTACGTTTACAATTCCTCTGTATAGAATGATTTACGCAGTCGAGGATTGCGCGATTTGTATTGCTCTTGAAAAACTTGCTTACGTTCGAAAACCCGCTTCGAGTTTCAACGAGTAGTTGATTTTGAGTAGGTACTATTTCGAACTCGCCTAGAATCGGGCCTGTAACGTTCAGTTTTCCTTTTTCATAGTAAACCCAAGTACCAAACTGCTTTCGAACCGCACGTCCGAATAAATGGTTCGTATCCGTTTCGAATAACACCGTGATAAACGCATCGTCTGAGAAGGGGTCGGGTTCTTTCGCTCCTACTGTTCTCCGCGCGATACCTCGCACATTTTTATTCGAATATATTCGTCTACACGCGTTGCTGTTGGACGCGCATTGGTTGCTGTCTAGTATTCTAAGGAGCGCTACCGAGAAATGGTATTCTCATCTATGACACGATTTACACTTTTATACGATTCCCCGATGCGGATCGCGTTCTAACGCGCATGCTATTATGTAATGTAACTTGTAACGTTTACTTCGAGAAACGCGGTACTAATCGAGAAATAATATTAATCTGTACATAATACGGATCGTACAAGCAATTTACGTTCTTCTCGTATCAATGTTTCACTATTTCGAACGTTGATATTTTATCGGTAGGAGGTATTCTATTATTTCGATTGATTTTGATTTCGATTGAAAAGTGCATTGAGAAAAAGGCATTTCTTATTTCTTATCTCCTATTTCTTACTTACTCGTTATTTCTTATTTCTTATTTCTTATTTCTTACTTGTTATCTCTTATTCGAAATTTGTCGTTTGTAATACCGTATCCGCCTTAATACTATTCCCGTGTTAGTATTACTCTGAATGTAAAAAGTCGCAAAGTAGCAAACGTTGCTGGATCGAAAATGGAAAATCGGAAATCGAAACGGATCAATTATCGGGGTAAACGGCCACGTACGCGTGGCGCTGTGATACGCGGCATCTTGTGTCATAGATGGGAACGTTGTCGGAAGTTTCTCTCGGAAATTCTCAGAGCAATTCGCTTGGACAAGTATTTTGCGCTGACCGATGTAATTACGTACGAAATGCCGACAAGATATATCGATAAATATCGTCGAATCGAGAAGAAAGTTGTCTCGTTAGTCGCCGAAGAGTACGAAAACGAGGACGCAGATGAAGGCGAAGGTGAAGGCGAAGGCGAAGGCGAAGGCGAAGGCGAAGGCGAAGGCGGAGGCGGAAACGAAAACGAAAACGAAAATTCAAACAAAAGACAAAAATAGGATGAACGAGTATTTTTCGTGAATTTTATTTATAAAATAGAAATTAATGTACAAGTACAGGATACAGGGTACGGGGAGGCAGTCGTAATATCGGTGTTGCTTGTCGTGCCGATTTTTATGGTACGGCATAATGTGATAGATTCCTTTCATACGCGACCTTTAGCAATATCATTCGAGGAGATTGGGTTTGCGATCTAGACGGTGCAGATGAAACAGCGTGTCGAGAAAATGAATGAAATCAATAATATAGTGTAAACGTTAACGATGAGATTAATGAAATTCCTCCCAAGGAAAACTCGGGATAGTTATTAATTAATTATACGATGAAATCCTTAGAAATCGGGGTTTCTTTTTACGTTTCTCCTTCCTTCCGTCGCGCGTGTACACATCTACACAACGTGGCTACTCCAATTATACACATTTACAGCATGCTCTTACTTTAACGTTATTATTACAATTCCCTTCAGAAAATTAATGATCGCGTTGTTGCGCATCGAATCAAATTCGGAGAATTTCCTCCCGCGGATAGTTGCCGTTGCTCGCGGGATTCCTAAAAGAATCGAATGTTAACCAATTCTCGAACGCGTGCACTTTCCTTTCCTTTTCTTTCCCGCATCAGTGCCACGCGAAATCGATTTCTTTCCACTGAACGACCAATACAATACGATACCTATACTTTTTATAATTTATCAAAATTCAAGTATAAAAGCACATTCTACAAAAGCGGTTTTGTTCGAGGAAGTTTTACCTACATGTCGTTTACAAATTTTGTGCATTTTACAGAAATATAATCAAGCCATAACTATGTATCGTACCTGAAACACTTATCGCGACGATTATTTCTACGTATACCGCGACATTTTATGTATACGTCGACGCACAACCACTGTGACAAGTAGAGTAGAGTTATGCCAACGAAGAATGGCACAATCAACTTGTCCCTGCCTACGTTTCAATCGTACCGCGTGTCTTCTCAAAACATCGGAAAAATCTCAAAGCGACAAATCAAGGACAAACTGTTTGCTAACTACCCTTTTGTCATTTCTGGCAACGACATTCTTTTCTTCTCGAAAAATTTCGTCTAACAGTGATCTATCAAGTTTTCTAATCTAACTGGGAGTAATCCAACTTGGCATGTTAGCTCTCTTTCGTCAATATAGCTTTCCAATCTTTCATTCATCCTTTTCTCTCTCTCTCTCTCTCTCTCTCTCTCTCTCTCTCTCTGAACTGTGTGCCCTATCGACGCACACAGTTCTTCCTTTTACTCGACGATCGATGCCTCTCTCCGTCGTGTTTCTTCTTTTCTTAATGCGTCACTGATAATGTCGATAATGGCTTATTCGATTTCACTGTAACTTCGAAAGCAAGATGCCGATAGTGTTGACAATTATTGAGCGATGCCAGGAAAAATAACAATAACGTCTTTCCTCGTACAAAAACTTGATCGAGTCATAAAAGATGGTAAGATTCAAGGGAGGAGTTGTTGTTTCGAAGTTGTAAGCATTGCGTTCAAAGAAGGGGGCAGGGGTGAAAAAGAAATCTAAGGATTTCACTTCTTCTTGCTCTTGTTATTTCCACCTCGCGGAGGCGTCACTGGTCTACCTGCGTTCAGGCCACCGTAATTTAATTTCTTTTTGTCGGCTGGCTTCAAAATTTGGAAACTGCACATCAGAGTTTCATCCACGGACATCATAGCTCCGGCATTGTCAAACTCGCCGCAGTAGTTTGGTGCCGAGAACAAAGTAACCAACTGCCTTTTCGCGAAGAATTCGTAGCCGTCTTCTACAACCTGAAATTTCCATCAATGTTCAGACATGTTCGACACTCCAGAAATTTTCTACGTGTTAGACTTGAGCATTCGTTGCTAGGGAAGCGAGTGACCGAGAGCACCGAGAACCGTGTTAGTTGCGATCAAATCTTTCCAGAAGTAAATCATGAATCGATTAATAATAAACACAGCGCTAAATTGAACGATGCATTCTGGCACACATACCTGATGAGCACGACATATCAGGTCAAAATCGTGCTTATGTAAAAATTTGGCAACAACTTCGGCTCCAAATGTGAACGAGACGCCACGGTCGTTTTCTCCCCAACCCATCGTGTCCTTGTCCGGATCCGACCACAACAAATCGCATAGCAACCCTTGGTCGGGTACGTCGGTTGGTCGCATGATACGCCTAATCTGTTCCATGTGTTGAAGGTCTGGACTCAGACCTCCATGACAGCAAAAGATTTTTTCGTCGACTATAGCGGCGACCGGTAAACAGTTGAAACAGTCCGTAAACGTTTTCCACAATTTAATGTTGTAACGACGTTTACCTGTACCGCAGAATCACATCAATTTACCTAACAAACGAAACGCACAACGATACTACAGACTTTTCAAAAAAATCACTTACATTCATCGTAAAATCCATATATCCTGTTAATAGATGCGCATTCGTGATTACCGCGAAGTAAAAAAAAGTTCTCTGGATATTTGATCTTGTAGGCAAGAAGAAGACAAATTGTTTCCAAAGACTGTTTTCCTCGATCGACGTAATCTCCTAAGAAAAGATAATTGCTCTCTGGTGGGAATCCACCATATTCGAACAGTCGTAGCAAATCATAGTATTGTCCATGAATATCGCCTTCGAACAAGAAACATCTTGTGAATATATATGAATGCAAACAAGTAGTCGTACATATGCATCAACGTAGCTAGTAGAACATACATTTTTATGCTTATGAGAAACATTCTGTTCAAACGATTTAATAATGTTTGTAAATTGTTGCATTTTAGTTATTTTCATCTATTGCAAATACAAGTATCCATAGTTGATCGATTACGATAACTGTACAGGATTAAAAGACCCGCATGTTCGTTAACTTACCACAGATTTTAAGCGGAGCTTCCAGCTCCAATAGAATTGGTTGCGATAAAAATATTTCACGTGATTTCAAACATAGTCCCTTTATTTCACCTTCCGTCAACTGTACATTCTTCCCAGGTCTGGCTCCCCGTACTAAAAGATTAATTTATTTTCATTTACATATGAACCTTGAAGCGCTATATCGATCGTGACTGTAGGAAAGTAACAACGGGATCATTTTCATCCAATGGCCGCATAAATACATCATAAGGGGAATTAAGTATTTTTCAACTCGGACTCGTTTAACTGTTTACAATGGGTGACTATGTATTGCTCTTAAAGCAGAAAGACTGCCAAAATCTCATCGGACGACAAAATTTCTGCTTAAAGACCCAAGCTGTAAGCACAGGTAAGCGGAGCAGGTATTGAAAATTTCCGTGTATACTACAATAGCAATCCACTACAGTTCATTGTAACAGCCTCGTCCGATACAATATTATTCCATGTAAACAAACAGCGGTAGAATTAGTTGAAGTTTTTCTAATTAGACGTATTTAAAGACAGTTGCGTAACCGAGCAAAGAAAAGTAGACACAATAGAAAGAAGATAAGAGAAAGAAAATTGAAATGAAATAAAAGGCAAATCGGTACGGTATTCCGAATAGACTGCAGAGTGGATTGTAGTGGTCAGTTGGTCACGTTCTACCGAAATACGAAGATGGAGAAAAAGAGAATAGAAGAGTAAGAAAGGGTGAGGCGGATGGGTAAGACAGTTTTGTACCACGATACCCCCCACCCGCGCCCCC